TTATTGTTTCTCTAATAAATTGCAAAGTAATTAAATAATTTAATAATAAAGTGGATTATCATATACAGTAGCAGACAAATATCTCTTTTATTATGGTATGGTACATTGCGTTAATGCAGCGTACAATAACATAGGCCCACCAGCGGCCGAGCGGTAAAGTCGCTGAACACTGGTAGTTCCGTCCGAGGTTCGAATCCCGCGAACGGGCTGGCTGCATGGGTGTTTTCGTGGTTTTCCCCATGTGTAACGTGTATACGAGCCAGTTTCCCTTAGAAAGTCCTCCACGAGAGGCATCCCTCCCCTTAGGCAGATAGCCCTAGTGTGCTTTGCCGTAATTAAAATACACACATACACACAATAACATAGATACAATTCTGCAATAATGAATTATATTTTCTTTTCTTCCTAAATAACAATGTTCATTTTATATTTTTACTGTAATGGACTGCATTTCAGGTTCAGATCTCTGCATACATGTTACCAATAAAAGTTACTGCAAACATACAAATACATATATATATATATATTTATATATATATAAACTAATTTTAAAAAAATTAAATACTTTAAAAATTTAATGTTTATTTATAAGTTTATTTTAAAGAATAAACTTGACTCATTCTTGATTTCTTTGCTAAACATTTTCTTTTACTCTTTCACAATAGTTTTGTTTTTAAATTTCTTGGATAATATAATCTTTTCTAGTAAAAGTTTCTTCATTTTGTAAAATATATACATATATTTTTATATGTACATATAATGAAAATATTAACATTGTTCCAAAATGTATCAATATCTTATATGAATAATATGTAATTGTAATCATAATATTATAAAATAAAAACGAAAGAAGAAAATATGAACGAATCGATTCCTTCTGACCGACTTTTACTGTCATGGAAGAAACTTATTAAGCCTCCTGAGAATAAATACGCTATTTCCACAATCTTACTGTAAGCTGATGCCATTTGCTACATACTAATTCTTGAATGTTAGAAAGTAAAGCGCTTATTCTGAAGTTTTACGTAAACTATGTAATGTAAACTATGTAATTAGAGTAAATGTTGTCCTCTTTTGTATTTTATGCATTCTAAATTATAAACTAGGCAATTTCATGCAATAGCAAAAATATTTTGTTTTCTTACGTTGCATTTATGATGACATAAATTCAGTTTTCTAATTTACATTTCCTTTCTTAATTAAGTTTTGCTTTCGATTCTTTATAAATATTTGTTATTTTGTTATTTATATTATTGATAAGAAATGGAATCCAGTTTCAAAATCTACCTTTGTACATCTTTATAGAATTCTATAAATATTAATTCCAGCTTCTGATATAGTATCTGTAGAACACGCATTACAATTAGTAAAATATTTATTATGTTTTAATGAGTTAAATATTAAAAATTCCATAATTTCGGGCTAGATTTCCACAGATATTCTGAAATCAATTTATTGACGTAGCTCCCTTTTGTTACTGGCCGAAATTACATTTTTTTCGATAAGTAATATCTATAAAACAAAACTCATTCATTTTTTGATTGTCAGCAGTCAAAAACAGCATCATTGTTAAATTTATCAAACAATTGTTTTTTATTTATAGCTGCCTAATGAAATTAATAACTTGTTTATATCTCTAATATAAACAATAGTCTTTATATACATCTTTGGAATATTTTCTACTTAGCTTAAAGCATAAATATTACTTTACTGGTTAGAATACTGATTTCATGGAGTAAATATTAAACATACATGAAGCAAATATTAAAGTTTTCGTTAAAAATATTAGCTTTATGATTTTATTAAAATAACTAAAGTAATTTCCTAAAACTCTGTCCCATATTTTGAAGAAGTTTACAATTAAACATACATATATAGGACACATATTTAAACAAATAAAGCCTATAGTATTTTTTTACGAACACTTTGTACTTCTTTTCTTTAATCTTAAAATTTGTCATTACTGTCTTCATTGTGCGAAGATTTAAGCAGTCTGCTTTTGTGAGATACTTGTGTTATAGGCTTTAAATAATGGGGTGTTAAGTTTTAAACTGGTCAAGAAAACTCTTTCAGTTTCCTTCCCTTGCAATATAATCTCTGTAGAAATGCTTTCTTATAAAATCGACTGGGGTGTAGCATTTGAAAGCTATATTATTAACGTAAAGTTCTGAGTATGTGAGGCACGAAAAGAAATGGTACTGTTAATTAATAAAAAAGTAATGAAAATTATTAGTTGAAAACTAATCTTTTTTGCAATGTCCCACCTTCAGCATTAAAACAATCGTTTTATAGTAAACGTTTAGTTTTATATGCTGTTGTTGTACATTACAGACGCAGCTGTTAGTAAAACATAGTTAATACTTACTGGAATCTTAGAAAATGTTGTCTTCGAAAAGCTGATTATCCTTATCGAGAACACCCGGTCACATGTTATCGTGTCTTTGCTGCTGGCCATTCAATATGCGGGATCGTGAACAAAGGGCCTTTAAGATTTGAAAATTGCATAAACAATTGCACTTTGGTAAGAGATGGCCATTGTTAGCATTGCAGCTCATCTACAAAAAATGTGCGCCAGGGGTCGCCATCTGAATTGTAACGTCCCCCTTCTGTACAAAAACACTTGGTCACCCACCCTAAAAGGAGGGACAGAAAACCGTCTTCTCGCCTCGGGCGGAAGAGGGGAGTGGATTTTAGGCCCTGGTCACAGGTAAGAGTAAAAGAGACTGAGATGTGAAAGAGAAAAAGAGCGGACGCTAATTTGCGCGCTCTACTGAAGTGAAAATGTATTTTAAAGTATTTTTAAATTGTAATCTGTACATAGTTGTATATAAGGATAAATATTTAGCCTAGAACAGGTCTGGTTTATTGGACGGAGATATGGTACAGGATATAATGTAAAATATTAGGAATGGATTTGCGCGCTTACCCGTTATTCCTTTGCATGGAAAACTTCATTATGCCTCAGCAGGAAAAAGAATTATCATTCGAGCAGTATTCTAAGTTGCAAAGAGAAGAATTGTGATTACTGTAGACTGCGGATTACCCTTCGGAGAAGTTGGTGCTCATGTTGGACGAAATCGGGACGTGGTAATGCGAATATGAATTTCAGTGATTATAGTAGGAAGGGGGTTGACCAACCGGAGCGATAGCACCATCCTTATCAGCTACCAAGCGAGAAAACAGGCCTACTCTGTGAATGGTAATGATGGGTTGCACAGAATATAGCCATAAAACCATATGATTAGGCAAGGTATCACTAAACGGATCGTCACTTGATGTTGCGGTCTTGAATGCCATTGAATTCTAGAACCTCAACCAATTAACGCACATTGCCGATACACTCAACAGCCACAGTTATATCTCTGAAATTTTAGAGAATTGATGACTTACAAACGAGCGGCTCTGCTTACATCACCGAGGCTACGTCGCATGAACCATGGCAATGTATGTATACTGGTAATACAAGTAAGTATTCCAAACCTCTTTCTAAAGTTAGTATCTCTTTCCCCAAATTTCAGATAGAGCTGAAATTTTTCTCAGTTCGTTCTGGGACCTTATGTTATTTTTCCAGTAAATAGGCTTTCATATCTCTGGTGCGTTTTTGAATGGCCAGCAGGATACGTAACAACTATTTTGGTTGTTGTATAGAAGTGGTAACTGCTTCAGCAACAGATAATTCGATATTTATTCGGATACGAATTTCGGTGGAAAGTTTTCGAGCACTTGCTTAGGATCTCGGCTTCATCCCTAGCATTTCCTAGGGCCTAGTGTATTTCTCAAGATTCAAGGAGTTTTGGAAAGCTATGAATTTTGAAACAACACTCTAGTAGACAGCAATATTGTTTCTGAATTACCTGGCTATAGGAAGGGAATGTACGAAATTTATTTCTTATTACAATAAGAGTCCGAGTTCTATGTTTGTAAGTGAGGTATAAAAACCCAAGATAGGTGCATTCCCAAGACTAAAAAAAAACTTTTCTTCTGCCCAAGAGATGATTTAAAAATGTTAAGATTGTCATTACATTCTATTAATTTAAGAATGTTATGAATATCATTGCATTTTATCCTATCCACAGTGAGAAGTGGACATTTTACTGCACGAGATAATAAAACTTATTTACCTTCGTCGAAACTGAAGTTATTTTTCACTAAACCAGATAAAACTCCCATTGGTTGTTTTTCCAAAAACATACTATATTCTATTTATTTCAAAATTCTTTTCATTATTGTTCAGTAACGTTTCCTTTGATAGTATGTATTTCTGAAAGTCTTCAAAGAGAATACAATCACAGAAAAGCTCAGTTGCAGACAAATTAACTTTTATTAAACAGACTTAATTTTTCTTTCCTTAGTGTGCTAACGCATAGCAAAGATCGCGTTTAGCAATATTCAACAGTATTCTTTTGTTAGTTAGTGAAATAACTATATTTTAAAAAATAATTGAGCTTTTTATTTCAGAACAATTATTGTAGCTAAAAATTATTGCAGTTAAGAACAATTATTGTAGCTAAGCAATGAGTGAGTTATAAATAGTAGATTAACATACGTAATTTTTTTCCGTTAACATTTATAAGCTATATATTTGCTGAGCGTTTTAGGCTAATACCTAATTTAAATTAAAAACTTCCTTAAAATATGTATCATAGCTTTTGTTTTCTATCATTTAAATTAAGAGCAAAAATTAAAAATACCTAAATGAATAACAGCAAGCTTCTTAGAATTGCTCACGAGATCTATAGAGAAGCACACATGATATCCCTATATCTGAAGTCCAAATAACTAGGTGTCTACTGTGTTAAACGATGAGAGTTCTAAATAGTTGTGATTCTGCTGTATTCTCTCAATCCTCTCCCAATTATTGAAAATTATCTAAAATTAAAAATAGTGTACTGTTCAAATTCTTTATACACGTTCTTTATCATCAGTTATTGTTTATTTCTTGATTGTATTTTTTAGGAAAATTAAACTGTTATCCAAAAATTATTATTTTATACTTTTAGGACCGTTCAGTGCACTAGGATTACAATACATAAGCACCTTTTTGTGTCTTTCATCATCAACAATATAATGTGGATAATCTGGTATACGGAGGTGGTCCAAAAACCTTCCGTTTTGATCAATAATGAAGTAAGTAAATTTTATTTTGCTTAAATAATTTTGAAGCTAATTGTTTATCACAGAAAATTTGCCAAAAGCCTGCAAAACATGTTTAAAGAAAAATTTAGTTGACAAAAGTAATTTATTGTCAGACATTAAAAGTGGCCCGTAATAGGGAGGTTGAGGATACTGACCATCTGGAAGATGATTATGTTGTGAGGTTAGAACATAGATGTTTAAAAACTGAAAGATATTGAATCCAGAGGTTAATGATCGAGAACGAATAGTCTGAAGCATTGGGACAGACTGGAATCCGAAAATTGATTTTTCAATTGAGAGGTTCAGGATACTAAACGAACGTTGATACGCCCCCTCCCAAAAAAAAAAGCGCATTGAAAGTTCGCCAATATATATTGCTGGAAGCATGCCAGGAGATGTTCGATTCTAGTTTCAGGAGCGTAAAATTATGTTTGTCTTCTCATGTTAAAAGTGAGTTTATTTTTATCATTTCCCTACTTTTGGGACTTTTTTTTTATTCTGGAATTTATTGTTAGTTGTATGTAAATAGGAGGTGTTAAGAAATCTCAGGACTACTGTTGAAAGAATTCAGCTCAGAGAATTAACGGGTCGATTGAAACGATTAATCCGATTCCGCTGCTCGTTCCATTCTTACCGCATATCGCTGCGTTCTCGCGTAACGGTCCGCATTTCCGTTTTTACGCGTCAAGGTTATTGTTAGTGAGCGCTCACTCGTAAAAAAGAACCGATTCATTTCAGTGAGCGAGTGTTTCTCATCTATCCAATAAAAGAATGGTTTTCTCAGTTGATGATCCAGATAACCATTTTAAAACCTAGCACACAAACAATACAGCGTAGAAAGATTTTTAAAAAGCAAATTAATGCTGAGTTCATTAAGAATACATAAAATGTAATTGCCATTATTATTAGTCTATTTTATAGTTTAATATTAAAAAATACGGCTCCCGTTGGTGAAAGATACGACACGCCCCTACTTTATATGCATGCTTTACAAGAAATCCGTGTACATGAAATTTAAATAATTGGTTTCTAAGCAATAATTAAAAATTCTATGAAAAAGGGGAAAAAATAAATTTTAAAATAATTATGACAGAAAACAGTAGTATAAAAACTCGTTTAATTGTTAATTGTGAAGCGAACGTATAATTTTCTGCTGTTGAATAGAGAGACAATAATGATGATGAGATTGAAATTATGAGCGACACATTTTGATATGAGTAATTTCTTTATTGTAATTCATATCTAAACATTTTTCTAGAAAAAATATTTTGCGGGATAGCGATGTGCATTGTACATTTTCAAGTTTGTTATTCAATCTAAGAAGAAAAAATTAATTTGTATTCATTGAACCTGTTAGTTTGTAGTAATATAATCTGAACAACTAATTCATATGCATGCATTTAAGGAGAAAATCTCCGATTAATTCAATTACCTGACCAGTTCACTGTTAAAACCAAGTCTAGAGTATGAGAAATATCTGCATATCTCTCAAAGATCATACGAAATAATTTGCTAATTCAATTACTAAGTTCATCTTTTTGATTTCGTTATTTCCGCTATCCTTATTGACTTTCCCCTTGGTACTTCTTTTAAAGCTTCTATGTGGAAATAATGCTTTCAGTTCTTTAAAAAAATATTCTTAAGACATAGTACTAACTACACGTGGTAGACTTCCGTTTTCATCCCAAAGTCTATCAATTTTGCTAAATGATTCTTTAATCGAACAAATCGCTCGTGTTCCTTTTCTTTTTATTAATACATAAAGAAAAGCTAATTTTGCAGTCACGCAATGCCGAAATCGTGATATTTTTTCGGCGAGATAGATTCCTTTTTTATTATTCCATTTTCGGAGTAAGGAAATGGGGAAAGGTAATCAGATAATGTTAATCTGTTTAAGGTTCTGTTCCATTTAAGCATAATGTTATGTTTTATACCATTAGGGATATGAAAATCTAGTATAATCAACAGTTGCTTTTATGCAGTGTTAATTTGTACATAATATTAATCAAATTACGCTGCGACATTTTTATCGCGATGTTTTATCTTGATTAATGCAATAAGTTTTCTATAATGGAATCTTCATTAATCAAGATCTACTATCGAAAATCAAACTTTGGTTGAACTTTCAAATCGATTTTAAGATTTATAAGGTATCGCAAAATATAGTGAAAAGATACCTGAAGAAATTTTAACATACTGTTCTTAAGATTGGTATCCTCATTGTCAATAAATAACATAGGAAGAACAGAGTTTGGGAACGAAAAACTGTTGGAAATAAACAGTGCCCTTTCTTCAGTCAAAGACAGGCTTTTGAACACGATTCGGTGTGTAGATTGTTGCATCGTAAGACTACGTGGGAGAAATTTTTTAATTCTTTTACATTCTCCCCTTCATTTGGAGGCGGCCAAGAGACAACGAGATTGAATAATTCATGTTATTTATGGATTATCAACAGCGCGTATTTAGTTTAGTTCAAATAATTAAATCATGTCTTTACAGGTATCGAATATAGGATCTCAGCATAACCAGATGAACTGAGGCCTCGCTTAAATAATTCCGATTAACATTGATTTGATATAATCTAGTTTTATCTATACACTCCGTATATTCTGTTTTATTTCTACCAATACGTATCAAACGATATACCTTAATGGTCAGCTAATGGCTTGAGTAAAAAATTATAACTGTTATAATTTGATAATCATTGGCTGCTTTCAGTAAAGAATTTTTTATCGGTTCTTTATTTTACCCAGTATATTTCCTATGTATTATCTTTGGGCTTCTTATGTATCATCTTTGAGTTTCTTATGTATCATCTTTATCCTTTTTATGCTGTCTTTCCACCCCTCCTGGAGAATGCAAGCTAGTTTCCCTTAGAGTATCTTCCACGAAAGCGTTCCTTTTTCCAGGAACATCGCTAGAAGTTGCTTTGTCATAATCCAATAAACCCAATTCAATCCTTCTTTTTCTTAAAAGGTAGCATTTGATCATATTGAAAAGTAATAAGTGAATTAAAAATAATCCTGAAATGTTGCTCAGTAGGAAAGGGAACCAGACTTCACAAACGAATCTTGTAGTACCTTAAAAAATTTTAAAAATAAATAAATAAATAAAAGCTTTCAGATTTTATACTACGCCCAAGCGGGCTTTTTATTTTTTCATTTACACGTACATACACGTTTCGAGAACATTTGAGCTAACGCCCCTTTGTGCTAAAAATATAAAAAACAGCATATATTTAGAATTTCCCAGACAGTCCAGAACGCTGGAAATAAAAGTGCTGTATTCCGTAGAGTGTTGCCACTGCTTGCTTTGAAATCGTTGAGTTTCTTAATCAAAAATTAATTAAAGTTTAAAAATATGAAATAGATAATAAAACGAATTCGAAATTTAAGATTCGGACTCCTAGGTGCCCATATTCGAGTAGAGGACCACATTATTCAGAATTTGATGTCTCGAAGTACCGTTGTTTTCCACAATGAAAGAAATATATTTACATTCATCCGCATTCTTCATTATTTAATTTCTTTAATACAGGGCGGTAATATCTGGTGACAACAATTCTAAAAGTGAAACGGACATTTATATTAAACCGGCACAAAATGGCTAATAGAGACTAATAGCTCTTCTCAGCTAAAAATGATCGAAACCAGAACTTTGCAGCACTGTATAAATATTAAAATATTCGTACGATTCTTTGAATTTTTAATGAATAATTAATCATATCGTAAGCACTATTTGAATAACGACATTTGTAACAACAAATAGCAAAATAAATACCGTTACAACGAAAAGTCAAAACGTTTTTCGAACCCGCTGCGAAATCTTTGATAACTTTCTGCAGAAACTACCTAATCTAAATATCATTGCATGGCTTTAATGTTTATAAAAATAATTAAAATGATATATATTTATAACATCGGTATTATAACGTAGTCCCGAATTTGCAAAATTAGTGTAAATTACACGCCATATTACAGTACTTTAATGACAACAAGCGTTAAATTAGAGAGACAGCACTAGCAAATAGAAAGGTCTTAAAATGTATTATGTTATCCAGAAATATCAGTAAGACATACTTTATTTCACTTTTACAATAAAATAACAAATCCCTTCAAAATACAACAAAGAAGTACGAAACTGTGCATTATGCTTCAGTGCAGTTCCTGTACATGTCACAGAACTTGCATATCGAGGCAATGAATAACTGTGTGAAGAATGGTTGCTCTGTTGCAGATAATTAGAAAATTGAATCAAACTCTCTAAAAATCTACTTCTAACGCAGTAAATACTAAAAAATAAATCTCTGATATTTCCTTGCCAAAAGGATATTCATAAAATCATTCCATCAAATGCGCACAAAACTAGGAAAATATTAGTTTATCCTTAAAAGTTGGCACCTAAACATATCAAAATTTCTGAAGCGGTTCACCTACCCCCAGTGCTTTAAAATTTACTCCGACTTTGCCCGTTTTTTTTTTTTGGGGGGGGGCTGTGTGTTTGTGTGCCAGCCTTACAAAGCATACTTTTAAAACGGTTTAAAGGCCGTTAAATTCATGTTTAATATAAAAAGTGTATTTTTTAAAGAGTTCGATCTGATACTCTTTTTCCTAGTACGAAGTTCAGGAAGTATTGTAATCCCGAAAAACTTTGGGTACCTTATTTCAACGAAAATATCCATTTTGATCGCTATCGAATCCAATTTAAGGATGCTTTCGCGTGACATCTGTACGTAAGGACAGAATAAAGGACTCTTTTCCCCCAAACCCGAATTGTAAAACTGATTTAAAATGGATTCGAAAGAGATTTTTTTTTCGTGGCGTCTGTATGCATGCATAACTCAAAAACGAGTAGCCTCAGAAAGTAAATTTTGTATATAGGACTGCTATAATATGTAGTTTTGGACCTCCCTGTTTGGTTGCAATCAGCTGCATCAAAAGTTTATATATATATATATATATATATATACGCCACTCTATTACTCAGCGTTC